AGTCTTTCTCCTCTTATAGCGATCTCGTATTAAAGTTTACGTAGCGATAAGTCGGTAAATACTAAAGTACCGGTATTCTCGAGTAAAAATCCGCCGCCATTCGCGAAAAGAGCTCGCGGCCGCTCGCGTGTGATTGTTACTCATCATCGAGACCTTGTGGATCTATTTGATAGTAGGTCGGTCCTGATTTACAGCAAATTGCGGCACGAGCGTCGCCAGACTATTTGACGATTTGAAGTAACTGAGAACGTATAGCGCTTGCGAAAGTTTTTGAAACAAACTTTTCCTCTCGCTCTCTTTAATTTTCTCTCTGATCATTGCTATCATTTGAAATGGCAAATGTCGTACAAGCCATATTTTAGAATTCAGATAGTACATTGACAGAAAAGTTTTTGGTATTTGAAACTATAATTATATACGTTACTATAATTACTATTATTATTACTGCTGTAATGTTAGTAATAATAACTACACATACAGTAATTATTACTAGTAGCAAATTCGATAACGCATTAGATGCATATTTTAAAACCGTTGATTTAATCTGAGTGTGAAAGTGAAATGCAAATATTTGAATTATAAAACATAATTTGATCTAACAGCACAATAAAATGTATTGCGTATTTCACGGTTTAACCGGTTTCTGTGTATAGAATAAATATATCTTCATGTCAATTTGTGTACAACGATTTAGTATGCATCAGTATACGCATTAAGTGCGTCCAATCGAATTTGTTATAACAATGAGCATTATTATGATTATTATAATTATATTTATTACTGCTATAATAATTACTATACAGTTATTATTACATTAGAGCATTAATAATCATAATTATGGTAACATGTAATTATAGTAAATATTGACAATTTTTTTCTCAATGTAAAGAGAGAGAGAGAGAGAGAGGACGTTCCAAAGATAAGATTGTAGATTACAGGTATGTACATACAACTGTGTCAAGTACGACAACAGCGAAACTGCTGTCGAAACTCCGCAGCATCTCGATGGTAATAAAACGAAAGACGAATATTTTTTCTCACGGTCGCGCATAATGATTTCCGTATCGTGATTGATTCCGACAGCAGAAGAGGCCAATTGCGCACATGTGCATTGGCGGAGAGCATGGCTGAGATTAAAGTGGCGGTTAAAAAAGCTTCCCAGTCGTACGGTTCTATGTTACACGCTGGATTTTCTCATCGCTCCGGGTATAATGCCCCCAGACGTTGAGGCCACCGTACAGTCTTTCTCATAAATCTATGCAAAACGTTGTAATGATACTTCTTGTCAGTTCCCATACGCCGTGCATTCGGATCTCTTCGATAATAATTAATGCCGACAAGCGCGTATAGGAGCATATTTTATTATGTTTTGCATGCGACTCACGTAAACAAGAATCCATCTTATCATAGATGCAAGCATAATCGAGAAATTATTCAATGTGTCATTCTTTGTACATTTGAATGAGTATGTATATTGTGTATAATACATATAATATTCTGGAATAAAACATATTTGTTCTGTGTCACAAGTCTGTTTTATGTCACGTCTTTTCCTTTATATTTCTTATTAATAAAAATATATTTAATCTTTTTTCACAACTGGCAAAACCTCGACAAATTTTTGTTTATTAATTATTATTATATTAATCATTATTATATTAATATATTTTTTGCAACTAATGTTACATATTGGGACGCTTGTAATATTATACATATTATTTTCTACAAAAGCTCGTTTTCATACTGGTACGCTTTTTTTTTTATCGCTCTTAATGGAAATACTTGTTGCCGTCAAGAGATAAGGCAGGCTTAATTTTCAGTATATATTATTTAGAGTGTCTTAAAGTTAAAAATGGATAATAAAATAAGTCATTGTTCCACGTATATATAATTTTTTGTTCGATAATTGTAAATTTATCCGACATTTTTAATGCATAAATATATAAAAATTTAAATAACTTTTAAACACGATGTAATTATAAATTATATTAATATATATATATAATATAATTATATATATATATATATACAATATATGTATATGCATGGTATGGGACGCGTTGTGATCTAACAAAATGAAAATTGTAATATTCGATAAACAAGACAAAAAAAATTAATAAACATAAAGGTAATAAATTGGTGAGAGAATCAGATAAACAAAAAAAGATTCATTAAAAGGTTCAGTTCAATTTATACCCTGAAAAATGTTTTATTGAAATAAAGCCATAATTCGTGAAATGAAGCTATTCGTCGATGTTTCTAGAAGGCTAATGGATGAAGATGCTCTGCAGAGATGCACTTTTAATGCGAGCCTCTTCTTTATTTCTAAAATAATTTGCAGATAAAAATTTAATGGAGCGTAACATATTTGTGTCTCAATTTCGACGAGCACCTAAACTTCCCAAAAGAATAAGATAATAAATTATTCATCAATCATCTGATCATCTCTGATATCGCGCGTATTTCTCATGGACCGCACCCGCTGCATCGCACGACGGATCAGGAATCCTCTTCCGCAGACATGCAGCTCATTTTAATGATCGCGTGAGAAGATCTGCGACGCGGGGACAATGCGAGACGCGGAAAAGAACGATTTTTTTTCCACGAGATCAGATCCTCTATCTATGAGAGCCAGGTCAAAATGGCGGAAAACGCGCGCGCGCTGTTTACTCCAATCGGCAGTATCCGTGGACCATGGACGTGGCCTCAAGGTTGTCAGTCGCAAAAATAAACGTCGACGCGGAGGAGGAAGCGCAAAGGTGTCCACGAACGGGACCAACCTGTTTGCTGCGCCGTGGCCATCTCGCTCTGCTGCAGTCTGCCACCCGGGTTCGCCTGGACGTCCGTCATCCTTTACGACGATCTAGGCGGTGGTCGTTTAGGGGACTGCTCCGGAGGATTTCTATCCTCCGCTTCGACGTCTTGCGCGCGCGCGCGCGCGTTACGTCGACGGTGTAATGGTGTAACTAGACTCCCCGGTTTGCACACGCGAGATAATACGCAAAGACAGGAGGCTGCAAAGTAAACGAGGTGCGAAATGAAACTGCTGATGATTGCACCACTCGGGGGACGATTCGAGACGACGCGCAGCGCTTGAACCGACGCGTTTGAACTGACTGGCTCTCGACCGCCGCTGCCGGCTCGCCGGGACCAAGCTGTGGCCCCACGCCTGCCTCTGTCCCTGTAAGCGAAGCCTGCCGAGCGCGTACGAACGAACACGTCGTGTCCGTCCACCCACAACAAACACGCTCCGTCATCAGGCAGGTACGATGATGATGAGAGACGAGAAGAAAAGAAAGATCTCTCGCGCGATTGAAATCCGCGCTTAAACGCGATTTATCGATCGAGCCATTCTCTTTCATGCCTGTCGCGAATGCTGAGAGATGTGTGCCACGACAGATAATCGCTGAAGATCAGTCGGAGATCTTTCTCGATTTGAGAGCTTGAGCTGCCGCGGATTTGCCCGACCTCAATCTAGACTGATCCGTGAATCGTGTTGAAGAGAATATCACATCGCTCTAAAAAATGTCGGTGTAGATCCAACACCCATGGATTTTAAATCCACACACATCGTGATAGTGTTAATATAAACATTGTAAACATTATAAATCCGTATCTTGTTAATATTAAAACGATGAGAATTACATAGACACTGCATGGTGTAAAATCCATACTGATATTTTTTAGAGTGATAAAAGTTTATTATATTGTTTTCATTATTTCTAATTTTATGTGAATTTCATTCAACTAAATTTCACTAGCGGTTTTGTGCGAAAGTTGTCTTTATTATAATTTCTATTTTTTAAATTTGATTTAAAACAACTAAAAAAACAATTCGAAATATTGGACTTAAGTATCATGTGATGTTTATGTAATTTCCATTATGTCAATATTGACACCAACATGATGTAGATTTAACATCATGGGTTTTAAATCATGCCATTGGTATAAAAACATCAAGAATTATAAATTTATTCCACATTAGAGGTTAATTAATATTAACATCAATACGATGAGAATTTTATATAAACACTGCATATAGTGTGAAATCAACATCGATTGTTAAGATTAATTGTTTTCATTATTTACAATTTCACACGAATTTCATTCAGTTAAAATCCACTCGCGATTTTACACGAAAGTTGTCTTTATCGATTTCAGTTCTATCTCTTAAGCTTGATTTAAAACAACTAAAAACAATTCGATAGTTTACAAGTACTTATAGTTATATCCTACTTTTAGTTACCTAGCGTGTTTCTTACAAAAATATAATCGTTTGGATAACCAGAAAAAGTTCTACTTGAATAATTAATATTTTGACAGTATTAATTGTGTAACACACGCGTAATTAAAATTTATGAAAGATAATGATTGCACTATTATTATATTTTGTACAATAAAAAAATCTAGCATGCTAACGCAACTTTTAAATAGATTTTGGCAGTGACATGCCTATTGTCCGTGTTTCTCACGCGATTGCTTAAGTAGAGCAAGAAAATGTCAGTTAGGCAAAAATAGCCAGACCTATAAGCGATAAAAAATCTATGCTAATCTGATGGTCTTCGCGACATCAAATTTTATCATAATATTAAAGTATTTTATGTTATTAAAGCTTGGAACTCACGACAAACAATATATAAATTATGATTGTTTAAAAATATCTATTGTATTAAACACAAGGGAATTAATTAATATATTAAAATAAAACGCAAATGTATCAAACAAAATATTTTTAAAATATCAACACTAGGGGATTTTTAAATCCTCTCCGTTGATTCGAGAGGAAAAATTTATTACAGTAACAATAAGAAGTAAATTAATATCGATAATTTTATCCGACTTTGTACAATGTAGTTATATTAAAATATTTTGCATTCTGTAAATTTAATATAGACGCTGTATTGTATGAAACTGAATTATAAATAACAATGTTACGTGCATTCAAGATGAAGTATTGTTTTTCTTTTTCTCGTATTCGTAAACCTTTCTTCTTTTCTTGCTTTTCTTCGATAAAATGTTAACGCTTTGATGTTGCTGATTCCAGGATTGTATTGCGTATTACATGTAGATTGTCAAGTGGATCCTCGCATTATCCAGTGAGGGAGGAGGAAAATGAAAAAAATAGTGACGAGCGAATATGGCGAATGTATCCATCGTCGACATGGCTTGGCAGATAGATGTTCATCCTAATCATCGCTTGCTGCCGCCCTCTCACACAGTCTACGAAGGAACGCTGTGAACGAAATAGAGTGATCAATATATTATTCCGCGCAGGCAAATCGCGAAACATTGACAAGTGAATAAGCATATTTTTATAGAGAGACGAGATAAACGTATATTTCAAGGCGGAGATAAAGAAAATTAGTTTATGCGCGAAGCTAAAAGTACTGAACGATTTAGTCTAATTTAAATAGCAGTCAGTGCTCAATTTTGCGCTGCCATGTAGATTTTTCTTATAGCAAAGCAACAAATATATAAAAGCGATAGATACCTACATAAATAATATACAAAGAAGCATTAATAATTCGCGTAGCAGAGAAATACAAGACGACATTAAAAATTGTTCCTATAACAAATGTAGCATATATGTATGCAGAAGAATATTTATATAATTATGTATAATTAATACAAAATGTATAATAAAACTCTGTTCTGTCTAATAATTTTTTTTCAAAGAAATTAAAATACAATATTTAAATAAAGGGAACATTAAATTAAAATTCATTAAAAAATGTACTGTAATTCAAGTTGTGGATAAAGTTTTTTTTAATATATGTTTTTTCCATTTTGTTTTAATTTTTTTTTATCAGTGTCTTGATTATTTAATCTTATTTCATATTATCGTGATTTTCCTTGATGATCTCATCAGGTCATTGACCCCGCGCGCGAGCAAAACCTTCGTACGTGTTTCTGCGCTAGAAGCGGGTTATCGATTTTCAGCATCCCTGTTGAGCTGCAACGTTGCGTCCTATAAATTCTAGAATATATGCTTAGCGGGAAAACGCGGACGAGACAATGTTAATGAATATAAGTAAAGAGACAGAGACAGATAAATAAGACGTAGATGAAGAAATGGCGGATAATCATGGAATTACGCTACAGGGTGTACTCACAATGGATGATTATTGTCTCGATAACGCCTCAACCGCTTACAACAGTACCATCATCTTCTTCAAGAAGGCTGTGAAACACAAAAATGTGGAAGTGTCAAACGATGGGGTGGAAACAAATCAAATCCGGGGGGATCTCTTGATGTTGCCGGAAGTTACCGGAGGTCCGTATTATAAATCGAAGAATATGTCAATTGTACGTATAATACATTATATACAAGGGGAACTTTCTAGTTCTAACAAAATGGTTTTAGGGGCTTTAAAGAATAGATAGGGATTTTCTTCAAACTAACGTATCTTATGTGAATGTGATGCAGGTGATTCGACACTCCTCGTTTATTTCGGGGGGCGCATTCACGGTACCTGGCCCAAAACGAATTGATACTTACGGGCATAGGGGATGAAACCGTCTTCGTCTTCTGGGTCCATGCAATCCTTCAGCACTGTATCGCATTCCTCATCATTAAGACGTTCACCTATGATAAATATGGTCATTCATATCACGTTATCTTATTTTTTTACAAATAAACTAAATTAAATATATAATATTTTGAAAATAAATATTCACAAAATAATATTTATTATTTGTAACATAATAAAGCTGCACACAGATATCTATTTTAGAAACAAGATTGTACTACATATTTGTGTAATACAATTAATTACACATAATAAAAGTAGAAGAGCAAATTTTAATTTTTTTGTAAGTTGTAAATAATTGTTAATGAAAAAGGATAAATCATACCAAGTGACAGAAGTGTGTGAGACAATTCTGCGCCGAGCATCGTTCCGTTTTCCTGTTTGTCGTACAACTTCAAACACTCGAGGAAGTCCTCATAGCATCCTTGCTCCTTATCCTTTTTGCACTGGCTGAAGATAGGTAGGAATTCGTCCAGTTTCATTTTCTTTTCACCCTTCTTCTTTGTGCCGCCCATTTTTTCGATGGTCGCATTCGTGGGGTTCAAGTTCAAAGCGCGAAGGACGTTACCAAGATCAACTGCATCGATGACGTTGGTGCCGTCCGAGTCGTAAATGGAGAAAGCGAACTCTGCCCCTTTTTTAACAAAATAATAATTTCTTATGCATTTTTTCAGCTACATTGTAAAAGATATTACTGATGAGCTAACGTTCTCGATAAAAAGATCTTTATAATTAAGAAGAATCTTGTTATATAATTTTATATATGTATATATGTTATGTATACTATATATATATATATAGGTATTTGATTTTGTCTTTAAATATGGCGATGTGCAAAATCTGGGTTAATACCGTAAGCATGAAGTACACCGCGTACGTTTCTATCTTCAAAAATATTCTTCTATTTTAGGAGAGGCAGTAAGCCCCACCGCTGATTGAAGAAGTCGGTGGTGGAAGTAGTGGGTCAGATTACCCCCGCCGAACCATATAAGAACAGCCTACCAACCTATTTTTGACGCGCTACGGAACGGTCACATCCACCTACCCGATCCCTAGTCGTTATGTAACGTCAAAAATGGAACGTAACATACAAATTGGAAATATCGCGAAGAAAATTCGCGCGTTATGATTCATTAGATTTAATTAAAAAAAATAGTTGTCTAAAACGAATGAATATAAAATCCAGTATAATTAGAAGAAAAATAAAATTTTCTTTAGCTCTTTTTTTAAGTTAATGAAAATAATTTATAAAAGAAATTATTTGTTTCTCTAGAGAGAGTATTAATGAGAGTAAATGAAATGTTTTAAAAACTATTTCAAAAACAATTTTTTATAGTCTCTAGATATTTTGTTAAATAATTTAATGATGATTACAGAATAAAACAATATTTAATAAAGAGATTATTTTATTACCTAAACTATTTTAGAAATATTAAAAATTGTAATTTTAGCAATCTTTTATACCATTTTAATATTAATGACGTCATTAGTTAATGAAGTAACTTTTGGCGCAAATTTTATTATTCGTTATGATGACATGATAGAAGATTTACTTTCTTCTATTAAAACTTCATTCACTTCCTTCTAATCGCGTGACTCAAAACTACGAAATTACGTATAGAATCACTTACAGTTTCACTAATTACGATGTAAATTGATTAATCTATCTTCGTTATTTCAATATGATTTACGGAACGCGAAAATGTAAGAAAACTATTTAACAATAGCTTTACTCACTTTCGACGTCCTTGCTGCTAAGGTCTGCCTGAAAAATATAAGAAAGTTCTTTTATTATATTGAAGTTATTTATATTAACATCTCGATATCATATTATACATTTATATAAAAAGAATTTAACTGTAATGTATTAAATTTGTCATTCACGAGGAAGCTGTCAGAAAAATTCTCGCAAGAAAGAAAGAGAAATTGAAACTTACCATTGTCGATCGTCTGGTACTAGTGGATGTTGACCGAACGAAGCTTGAACCAGAAGTGGTACCCGGTGTTACCAAATTTACTCATTTTATTTTTGAAGATGGCGCTACGAGGACACCCTCGAACGATGTTGAGGTCCAGATCTGCTCGAGGAGTTTCGGTCCGAACCAACGATGACGAGGCATGGCAACGTCGCGGTCCAAAAACAGTTCGAGAAGCGACGAGAGGCCGAGAGTTGGCGAACGTCTTTTCCTACTGCGATAAATGAGACTTCGACATCGACAGTAATGACATTCCTATGTCAGATTGCCAGATTTGTAACGCCCGATGGACGTATCAGGCCAAAATGTACTCTGTGGACTTCGATGTATCGCTAGTAATCACTACATGTAGTGATCTTTAAACTAAACTATTTAAAACTAAAGAATGTGCTCAAACTAAAGAATGTGACACGCATTATGATATCATCAGACATTATATATTTTACAGAATTTTGCGAGTTTGTGTACAATGCTTGCGATTATCTAGAAATGTATAAAGAGTCTAATTCACGCGTTGCACCAAAGTCGTGTTAGATGCTGAAGACTCCCGGCCGATGGCTACGCTGCTGGTTGGTTATTTTTACTCGCTGTGTATTCACGGATGTGTTTCCCTCTAAAAAATACATGACTAAAAATCTGTACGAGCAAATAAAGGAAATCGTCGCCGTTTGATGTAGATCGTGAGGTAGCATTTTCCTTCCGGAACCCAGCATCAATTCTTCTGGCGGCCAAAGGCGGCACGGAAGAGTTTCCTCAATCGGCTGCCAAAGCCTTTCTTCTTCTTCTTCTTTTTCGTTGTCGCTTCATTGAACGTTTTTCTTTTCTCTGCATTGTCGAAGGGTAGTATCTGATCTATAGTCTTATTGTCATCATCGTATGATGGTTTTAACGACGATAACGAATTCGATCCGCGTTTCTCGATCTGAACTTCTTCAAGGTCGACTTCTTTCGAGGTAGATGCCACGTGTTGACTTGAATGAGACCTTAGTTCTTCATCATGTTTCAGTTTGATAACGTGAAAGCGACCGTTTGACTCGCTATCTTGAAGAGTCCCCGTTGTAGTGTCGTGTCTGATGTCAACATTGCTGTCGATAGTCTTAATAAATTGCTCTTCTTTCTCCTCCCAAATGGCAATATGTTCCTTACTGACCGAGTCTAAAGAAGCATTGTCTTCGGAGCAAGTTGAGATTGCTTTGTTCTCTAAATCTTCAATCAGCTGTTGTAACAAATCAACTGACACGTTGGTCGCCTCGTTAGTCGCTTCTCCTTCCTTCTTCTTTCGAATTAACTTTACCGGCTCCGTCGATTTAGTTGGCAATTCGAGAATTGTTGCGTGAATCTGGTGCATGTCGCCTTGACCTCGGGTCGTGCGCTGAGTTTCGGTGACGTCGGTTACTGGATTTATAAGCGGCTCATCGTCATTGCACGTGGCGTATTTCACCTGTTCAAACAAAAACAAACGCATGTCTCGTGAGTAAATTTTCTCATTCTAACACACGCGCAAGAAATAATAATCATACATGAAATTAATGTGACACAGGTACTAGAGAGAACCGCAAACACAAGGCCGCTCGTATGTGAATACCCTGCAATTGCGGCCATACGGTTCAACTAGAGCCGCTTGTGATGAAATAAACATACAAAAGTCCAACGTTAAATATAATTAATTATAAACGTTAATTTTAATTTACTTTTTATGTTATAACTGATTTTTATGACCGTTATTTTTAATTTATTTTTTATAATAAAATTTAATTAAAAGTACATTTATTTTTAATATATTTATATCGAAAAAGATGCAATTGTAATTTTATATGATTAAATTGATAAAATTGTTGAAGCTAACACAGTATCAAGTTTTTCTTAAAAAAATAAATTGGAACTTGAAGACTCAAAAAAACAGTATACATATATAAAACAATTTGGTATTGTATTATTATTAAAAATTTTATCATAATTTGAAGTCTTTTATATTTTTATTATTTCCTGTGCTTTCCTTATACAATAATTATTATCTCTACAATTGATTATAATAGAATAATTACGCCTTGGAAAGTTGTATTCAATTACCTGTTTCTCCAATGTTAACAATGAAGGCGGAAGAACATAACACGAATCTCCGATCCGTATGTCACGCAAATCACGGACTATCTTTGCAATCAATTCTATTTCGTCGGCTTTACTATAATGTATGTGTGTAAACTCGTTTGCTTGCGGTCTACCGTGTACATATTCCAGTTGAGCATCGTCTGTTTCCTCAGTGACATGCTGTTCCCAGGATTTTCCTAATAACAGTATTTAACGTATATATACATATTATTTACGTCTAACAGAGATAATTATACGCATCTGCGCGCAGTTATCTTCACGAAATGTATGTCGAGATCGCAATTGAAAACCATGCTGTTACATGAGAAACGGCGTTTATCAATGAACAACGTCATACAACAACGTCTCTATTCAATCCGCCGTTACATTCACGCGACGTACAAACGAGCTTGCACCTTACCATCCTCTGCATCGCGATCTATAACGTCCAGAACTTCTACCATTATCTTGTCTAACAATCCTCTCGCGAACGCCTCCGCCATGATTTGAGGCATTCTCGCAAAAGACAACCTCTTATACCGCGCCGGTTCTGATGGGACACTAAACAGTCTCTTGTTATTTTTCTGCGAGCGTAGACTCGATATCGTGCACACGCGATTATTTACAATGCAATAATTTTTAATCCCCGCTATGCTTTGTTTATTGTACAAAAGATGACGCTCTGATGGTATTTGATATTTTTATAGAAAAAAATTACAAATTTTTTGATCCTGATAATAAAAACAAAATTTTCTTCAATATCTTATATTTTAATTTAAATTGCAATCTTTCTCAATAATGGACAGATATAAAATGTTAAAATTTAACTTAAGACTTAAGATAAAATATAACTATTATATTAATAAGTTTATTAAATAAACAATTATATATAATAATTACATGTTTAATCTGTTTATGTACTATTGAATTTATATAATAGTACTAGTAGTAATCGAAAAATAATAAAAGTAAATAAGGTATACATAAACTGAAATATATAAAGACATAAGTAATGCATTGGAAACGCTCTTCACCAAACTAGAAGCGATTCATAAAATCTTTGACTTTATTATAGACTTTAAGCATAAAATTTCCTAATTAATTAATCGCTATAACGAGATTTTGCAGATATTGCAATATTTGTTAGCTAGTAGCTACGATAAGAAATTAGAGGATTTTTTCTTAAATGATTCCTTTTTGCACAAATGTGAATAATAAAAATCCAAAAACAATGTAATTACAAGATATTCTAAAAAGATGTAATATCTATTTAATAAAGAAAAAGAATTTCAGATAATTGGAAATCGTCAACATGAGGATCAAATTTTGGCATTAGACACTATACTGTGATCAGTAGGCGGTCTGAAAACTAGACCAAGTACAATGATCTTGTATTAAAAGCCAAGAATGTTAAAAGAACAAAACACGTATATTCACAAGTTCTAATGTGATGAATAATGAAATAAATTGTACATAAAAAAAGAGTAAAATCTATACTTATTTTACACTATCTTCAAAAAAATCGAACATATACGTATATGATCTTTAGATCGCCTATTTATAGGAGAAAAGGATGTAAAGATATGACGACCTTAAAGTTTGTCGATTTTTCTTTGTTAATTTTTCCATCCATTTGTAAAGAAAATATGATGTCATTTGCTTTTTTATTTTAAAATAATTGTTACCAGTTTTTTAAAAATCGATTATAATTTTCGAAATTATACAAACAAAAATGTTGGTACTACAAACAACTACAAATTATTTTATTATAAATGTGGTGCTGTTCCTCAGATGTATCTAAAAAAAATTTCTACCAGTTTTTCTAAATTTGATATTTTCCAATTATAAACGAAATAATTACAATTACAAAAAAATCATATAAAAAACGTCTAACAAAATTTGTTTTCGTAAAAGTTGGGTGCCAACTTCACGGAATTCTAAAACTGTTAACTATTGCCTAAATTCTATAAAGAATCGTAAGAATTGCAACATATTCTTGTAAGACTCATAAGTACTTTTAAGTACCTTTATACAACGTCTTTACGGACAGCTTCTTGGTAGTCATAAGATTTATGAGAAATTGTTACGAATAATCGTAAATCTTATGATATATATATACGTATAAAATAAAAATAATAGTCATAAGTTTTTACAAGTTTTAGGAGAATAAATTATAAGTTTTACAATTCTATTTAGAATTGACCTATATATTTGTCATAAAAATAAAGAACAAATCATAATAAATATGCAGTCCCCGAAATATAGACCAATTACCTATATGAATAACGAGCAACGGCTAAAAACCTGTTGGATGTCTCTCAGGTCATGATCTTGATAACTGTATGTAAGGTCAAAATCATCGGGGCTGCTTTCCCGAAACTGCACAAATATCATTTATTTTTTACATTAAGTAGTAGAACAGACACGACCATTCTCTATAATAGATATAATATTGCGCATGATTAATATTCTCGAGGTACAGACAATATATGCTTCAAATACTTTGAAGCATTCTTTGATTGATCAGGTAATAAAATTATTTTTTCTGATTGACTAAAATTAGACTTCAAAGTATTTATAACGAATATATGTATTATTGTTATTCTCCGTTAACAATTCGTAAATTCATGATGTCTATCTGAACTCAGAACAAAAAAACTGGTATTACAGTTTTAGCAAATGAAAATCATTCAAAATAAGTATATGTACGATCGGTTCCTAACGATTTCGGAAACTGGCATATTGAAGATGTTTTTGTAAGAAAGTATAAATAATGATTTTGTAAAACAGTAAATGTTCTTTTTATTTTCTTTATTTTATTTAAAGCTTTACACAAATAAATCGATATACTCTGTGCAGGCAGCTATACAATCGAAGCTAGATTAAGTTAATTTACCTGACATTTTGCAAAAAAAATAGCTGCGGTGAATTGATGGTCTGAAAGAATTAGCCTATAGTACAAAAACCTGTTACTGTACAGGGCAAAATATTACAAGTTGAGTTCGGGGGTTGTGACGCGCACGTCTGGTATTCTGGATCCGGACACTTTACGGCGGTACAAATATCCTGGCACTGGCAAGTTTCATCGCAGGTCATCATACACAAGCTTTCCTATCATAAACATTGAATTTTTTAGTATTTGTAAATATATTTTTTTCTGCAAAAAGTATC